CCCATGCCCCCCTTCCCCCCCCCCCCCCCCCGCCGTCTGGGGTGAGTACAGACCCCCCCAGCACCTACAAACCTGCAAATCCAGCGGCCGCGATGGTCAGCCCCACCGCCACCATGGTGCTGGCCTGCAGGGGGGAGACACGAAGCGCGAATTTAGTGAAGGAGAAGGACCGGGGCCCGCCCGGTGAGTCCTACCGGGGGCTGGGCTGCTGCCAACACCGCCGGGCGGGGACAAGCGGTCACGGCAGGAGCGGTGGGGCTGGGGGCTGGCAGGGAACCCCCCCGGCTGCGGGGGCCGAGGGAAACCCACCCCATCCCACCAGCCCCGTCCCGCGGCCCTGCCTGGCCCCCGAGGCCGGAGCCAGCGGCCTAGTACGGGGCAGCGCCCCGGGCCCCGCCAGCCCAAGGTCAAGCCGAGCTCCGTCGCCCCCGGGGCCGGCCCAGGGGAGCTGCCGGTACAGAGAGGAGCATCCCCCGGCTCCTGCCGGGAGACCCGCCGGGCCCGGGCCCCGCCGCACTCACCATGGCGGCACCGGGCCGAGCTGGCGGAAGGCACCGCCTCGCCGTACGGCACCCGGGCCGGCCGTAAAGCGCGACCGGCCGTCGTAAAACGGGGCGGAAGCAGTGGGGCCGTTCCCTGAGGAGGGGCTGGGGCGGCCCCGGGGGCGGTGGCCGGAGCCCGGATCCCTCAGCTCCGGTCCCGGATCCCGCAGCCCGGCCGGGCTGGTGCGGTGCGGGAGGGGCGGAGCGCTGTGTGGGCCGTGCGGGCGTTACCGGGGGTGTCAGCGCCCGGTTCCGGGCAGGAGCGTCCCCGCGCTCCGCCGTCCTTTGTTAGAAAAAGCGGTTTTTTCTTCCATCCCGTTTTTCATGTTTCTCGTTCTGGTGACTCGCTGCCCGCCCTGCCCGGCCCCTCTGTCGCTCGCTGGGCCGTGCTCCCGCCGGGTGCATCCCCCGGTGCCGGTGGTGGGTGACCCCTTGGGGCCTGTCCCGGCGGCTGAGGATGGGCAGGGACCGGGGGAGCGCTGCGGGCCCGGCGCTGGGGCGTCACTAACGGCCTGGTGTCTTCTCTTGGCACCGCGGGGCCGGCAGTAACGCTGTGCTCCCGCTCCGTCCCTCCGTCTGTGGGTGGTGTCCGTGGTCACGGAGCCCACGGCGGGGATCCCCGGGAGGCCTTCACCCCGCGGTCCCCGCTGGAGGCTCCCGGCGCTGCGCTCGGAGCCCTCCTTCCCTCAGCACCCTCCTCTGGGTGGGTGGAAGGTGCCGGAGCCCCCCTGGGCTCCTGAGGGACCCGCTGGTCCAAGGCAGGGTTTGGTGGCCACAGGCCCGGGCCTCACGAGCCCAGTGGGAGAGCTGGGCCCTTTGTTGTTCCTCTGGCTCTTGCAGTGGAAGAGAGAATTTTTCTTGCTGTGTGGTTCCTGGGAGTACCCTGCTGGCTTCGACTGTGTCATCAGTCCAGTTTGAGCTTGAATTGTTGGTTTTTTCACTAAGATTCTAAGCGCCTGATTCAGTGTCTTGTGAGATAGCGTTTGGAGGTGGTCTCCTGGCTCCTTCCTTCCCTGTCATCCCAATAGCACAAGAAAATAACCTGCTGCCATTCACTGAGGCGAGAAGAAAGATTTTGGTGAAGGGGCTCGCATTGTTGTACAAGAGTTTCATGAGGGGAAAAAAAGGAGGCTTTTCTCTTTGATAAATGAATCAAATCCGTGGATGGTAGAGCACGAGGCCCCCACCAGCCTGTCCCACCTTCTCAAATAGGGAAAAGGGAGTGAGCAAGAGGAAAGTGACTAGAGGTTTGCTTTATGGGGGGGGAAATAAGTCTGTAGAGATGTACAGGTCTGGTAGGTAACTACCTTCCTCCAATGTAGAGGATTTGGTCATAAAATGGTTCTTTTGGTTTTGTTATTAGATTAAATACTTTCTAATACAGCATTTGAAGCTGAAATGTCATCATTCCTTTAAAATACGCTGTGTATATTTTCATTCCATGGGACAATCCAAACTTTGCTTCTCCCCCCAGTTTGTTGAGCTTCCCCAGCAGAGCAAAAGGAGAATTAGCTGTGTCCCAGCTGGGACGTCTGTTGGGACATCACGGTGGATGAAGAAGACAAAGCCAGAGCTGCGAAATGCCACACTTGCTAAGGAGGAGGATGTTTGGAGACTTCTAACGTGTTCTGAGTGTGGTCTTTTTTTCAGGGCTTCTCTAAGTGCCACGTGTTTCTAGGAGGTCTCTGATGTATGAGATATTCTACTGCCCGGTAGCTGAACGGGGAAAAGTTGCTTTTCCTTCCTTAGCTCTCCTGGTCCCTGGAGTGCTTTGGGGCAGGTGAAGGGTACCAGCTGTTGTATCTCTTTGCTGACCACAGTCCCTAAATGCTGCCACTAAGCTTTCCAAAGCTGGATCAGAATTAAAATAAGTTTTCTGTGCATAAATTTGCAAATAGCTGCTCTAGTCTTCTCTTAATCTATTCCTTTTCCCTCCTGTGCTGCTCAGGAGACCTGTGTGTGGTGCGGAAGGGACTGGGTGTTTAACAGCTGTGTTTAAGTTCATGTCAGTTCACGTTTCAGCACACCAAGTCAGTAAACACTTACCTGTCTGAGTAGCTTTAATAACATGTGCTTGAAGGGTCAGAGCTGTGATACATTATTTCTGAAACCGTAAGGTTTATGAATTATTACCTAGGTATAGGTTGTGTTCTCCAGAAACTAATCATCTAGATGCCCCTCTTGGCAAATGGTGTTTTAAGTCTTGCCAAATGCTGAAAGTCGATTTTGTTCGGGTTCCGTACATAAATATTAATCTTGTGCTTGTTACACAGCAGGCAGCTTCCTCGGTTTTAAGCCTTGGTCCTTCAAGCTGCTACAGCTGGTGCTTTATGGCCACGTTGGTGGCCAGAGAGACACAGGGGCACGATGCTGAAATAACAGGTATTACTGCTGCTTTATAGGAAGCGGGAATGGGGCATCATGAGAATAGGAAAATCAAACAAAACCAAAAAACGCAGAAAACCTCATGGCACCAGAATATTTTATATTTTTTTTTCCCCACAAATGAAGTTGAAGTGGCTTCTTTTGCCATCAGAGTTTCCGTTTATTTAGAAATCGACGTTCTGGTCTATTTCCCCTGAATAGTTAATTTTTTAGCAGTGTATTCCTCTGGATCTTCTGCCGGCCAGCCGTGTGGTGGTGTCTGGGAGGTCATTCACAGGGGAAAATTAATGAGCTCTAATGGGCTCAAATGAAATAGCTGCACTACAGTTTTTATCCCTTCTGCAGAATGCCTGGTTTTGAAATCAGGAGGAAGGCAAAGTTACTGAGTGTTTAAGAAATACACTCTCAGTTGAAGTCTAAAACCTTTTGTTTTGCCTACTGTGTTTCTAAACTGCTCCCTTTCTGTTTTCCAGAGAAACCCTGAAGCTTTTGTAGTTTCTTCTGTCAAGAGTTTTATCCTACTGCTGGCTTCAGGTTTTCCACTCCTGGGGCTGAAATACCTCATGACAGAAGATTATTTTTCTTTTGGGAGCCTTATCTTGCTGGGCTCTCCAAAGCAGCCAGCGAGTGGTTTGTAAGTAAACTTCTCCACTACAGCAGACCACTTCTGCAGAAACCTGGCAGCACTTTCTCTTAACTGTATCTGCCACAAAGGGGACAGAAGGTGAAACAGGTAGCTGTGCTTTCAGAGCTTTGGGATGTACCTGCTAGATGCCTGTATGAGGTTGTTAAACATTTGTTTAGGTGAAAATCAGAGTTATGTGTTGTCTGTGCACAGGCAGCCAAATCTTACATTGCTTGTTCCTTTATGTGCTAAATTAATGAGCTCTAATGGGCTCAAATGAAATAGCTGCACTACAGTTTTTATCCCTTCTGCAGAATGCCTGGTTTTGAAATCAGGAGGAAGGCAAAGTTACTGAGTGTTTAAGAAATACACTCTCAGTTGAAGTCTAAAACCTTTTGTTTTGCCTACTGTGTTTCTAAACTGCTCCCTTTCTGTTTTCCAGAGAAACCCTGAAGCTTTTGTAGTTTCTTCTGTCAAGAGTTTTATCCTACTGCTGGCTTCAGGTTTTCCACTCCTGGGGTTGAAATACCTCATGACAGAAGATTATTTTTCTTTTGGGAGCCTTATCTTGCCGGGCTCTCCAAAGCAGCCCGTGAGTAGTATGGAAGTAAACTTCTCCACTACAGCAGACCACTTCTGCAGAAATCTGGCAGCACTTTCTCTTAACTGTATCTTCCACAAAGGGGACAGAAGGTGAAAGAGGTAGCTGTGCTTTCAGAGGTTTGGGATGTACCTGCTAAATGCCTGTATAAGGTTGTTGAACATTTGTTTAGGTGAAAATCAGAGTTTTGTGTTGTCTGTGCAGAGGCAGCCACATCTGACATTGCTTATTCCTTTATGTGCCGTGGCTGAACTGCCAAGCTGCTAAAAGCCTGCGGACTTTCACCTTGGAGCACCAAGGTACAGAATCTCCTAAGCACATTATTTATTTATATTTTAAGACATATACTGCAAAAATAATGTTTAGGTGGAATATCTTGGGGTGTTTTTTCCTGCAAACATTTTTCCTGCTTTTTGCCCGTACTCCGCTTCCTTTGGCTATGCCGATCTGCCGGTGCTACGTTTCACATCTTTTTCTTTTCCTTTTTCCTTTTTGAGATTTTCTGCTATCTTTTTGGGTGCTCAGCATCTGTACCAGAACACAATGCTGCACACTCTTCCCTGTGGCTAAGTTAGCTGGGTATATGTAGCATCACTTTGTTATTAAATTGATAATCATAATTATTTGAGCATAGTGTGGATGTAATTAATTATAAACTGAGATTCTCTCACTTGGTAAGAATGGTTGTGGATTATTTTAATCACACAAAGCAAGATTTCAGTGTAATTTGACAGCAGGTATGAGGTGTGTGTGTGTGACAAGTAGCATATCCCTGGTCATGATGATCACAAGGTAATCCATCCGACTTGCAATGGGCATTATTTGACTTCCTAGATCACTTAAAAAACAGGTCAGATTGTTAGAAAGTGATGGAGGGGCAAAGTTTGTAATTGTAAGTTTAGTAAGTTTTTGGATTGTGGGGTTGGGTTTGTGGTTTGTTTTTTTTTCTTGAAACATGCAAGTTTATCTGGATTTCACTTGGGAAGAACCCACTCTCTGAAGGAGCGCTGGCCAGTGAAGGGCACACTGCACAGTCCATCCTGCTCTCCCCACTTCTGCAGTGATGTTCTGCCAAAAAGTGGGAAGGGAGTGGGGACACCTGAATCTCTCCTTATAGTAGGGACACTGGGAGGTGGGACCTTACCAGACCATTCTTGGCAAGCAGAATCGAGTGTTTAAGACAACCCAGTGGTAAGTGTGGTCACCAAAGGCAGGAGAAATAGCACAAAATCAGCAAACTTGCTCTGCTGGTCTCTCACATCTTCGGCAAGCACAGCATTTCTCAGGGCACTGACACTGGGACAGTTACCTTCTGATCTTTTCTTTTAATTTGCATAAATCCTTGATTATTTACGAGGTGTGACACTTGTGTCACGGTCCCCTGTGTTCCAGGTGAAGCTGTAGCCACTGGCTTGTGGGAGAGACAGAGACTTGTTTCTTGGTTCCAGTAAATATTTCTGAAGCCTCATTTGAGATGTCAGGGGATGCATTTCCTTATCACTGGCTGATTTCAGAAGCCTCACCCTGGGACATCTCGCCGTGTCCATCGCACAGGCTGATTCAGCTCTCTCTGTCATACATAAAACAGGATCTGAATTTGTCCCTCCACGATGGGAAAGGTATGATTGTGTGGCACAGCATGATGTAGTACCTCCTGACAGAATATATAGTCCAAGTTTGGAGTGAGTTGGGTTTTTTTTTTTCCTTCTTTGAATTTGTGCTTAAGATAGTGATGATGAGGAACAGTGAAAGTTAAGAAATAGGAGTTCATTTTGGTCTTGAACTCGAAGGAGGTAAGGAAATCCTTGTCCTTTTGAGAAGAGAGCTTCTCAGCTTTATTGCCAACAAACTTTTGGCTCAAGTATGGCTTCTGTATATAATTTGATTGTGCCCAACAAATTGGGCCCAATGAGGAAGATGCAAAAGCCTCCATAACCTGACACTACTAGGAAGTCTGTTGAATGAGTATGACACTGAGATTGTGCATAACGAGTGCTCTGGCAAACTGAGGAGGGTACAAATAACCTTGACATTAAAGCACTTCCAACAGTTAGGGTCCTCCAGTTTTCCAAGTCTGTCCATTCTGTACACAGCTTTTGTTTGTACACAACTCTTACTGGGGTTTGCTGTTGATGTATCTTTCTTTGATATTAAATACAAC